GTACGATTCTCTCTATTATAATCTTTCCACGGGATTAAACAAATACGATACCCTTGGAATACTCTCGGGTGAAATGCTACAATGGTATATCCGTACGCTTGCGGATGAACTCTATAACCATAATATACCAGAAGTATTTCTGCGCCATTGCTGGAAATTATATTTCTAGTAATGTCGTTAAGAAATATCAACAACGGGTCGGAATTCATGAGGCTTCGGATCGTTCTCACCCTCACTACTTGGTCGCATCTGGTAGTTATCCTCTTGCTGCTCGCGCTAGTTACCCTCTTTTGTTCGGATTACGCCGGCGCTCTTTTGCCTTGAACCTACTGCCATGAAGATCGGGCCACCCTCGCGAGTGTGTTCGCATCATTGCACCAAGTGGAAGAGGAAATTTCGCGAGATATGTAATTTCTTCCTATTGACATTATTCATACATTACAGGCACAATTCCAATTTGTCGTACAAACAGAGTACAAATTTGTCATGTCCACATGATTCTACTGGCACTACTCAATAATTTCTACCAAAAAAAGTTAGAACCACAGAAACACTCAAATTGGCATGCTCACATGGCTAATTTCTGCTACACAATGATAACTTTTCATAACTACAGAGTGCCCGAAGCCCAATTGACTAGAAGTTGACGCGTGTAGCAATCATCCAAACTTTACACACTCTGTAATCATCGAAACGATCATACTTCAAGCTTTTTTCTGAAAACAAGCAGAAAAAGCTTTGAACAACTTTTCAAGTAAGTTGAGCTACCCAAGCTAACTTCTGCTAATTAATTTCTCATTGAACTCGTTGGACTGACTGATTTCTCATGTACTATGAACACTAAGACATATGATCATGCTACTAGAGTGTGCAAATTAGTTATGAACTTACTATCCGATATGTGAATAACCTTGGGTTGTTGTCACCATGCAGTTGAGGGCTATAAATATGAGAGTTGGGAGATGTGAGGGGGTAGTTTCGACGTGTCACATTGGGTATTAAATAGGGTGTCGCATGGGGTGTTCGGGCACTAATAAAAAAACTAATTATAGAATTCATCAGTAAACTGCGTGACGAATTTATTAAGGCTAATTAATTTGTCATTAGCAAATGTTTACTGTAGCACTATATTGTCAAATCATAGAGCAATTAAGTTTAAAAGATCCGTCTCGCAAATTAGTTACAATCTGTGTAATTAGTTATTTTTTTAGCCTATATTTAATACTTCATATATGTGTTCAAACGTTCAACGGGACAGGGTGAAAATTTTTAAGGTGAGATCTAAATTGGGCCTGAGTAATGGCGACCTCTTAAACTAGTTAGGTGGTGTTTGAAAGTCCTGAAAATGAAGATGAAGATTAAATGTTATACGCAAAAAGAGGTTGTAATAACGTGTGGTTAATTAAGTTTTAATTATTCCAAACTTGAAAAATAGATTAATTTGATATTTTAGAACAGCTTTCATATATAAAGTTTTCGCACGAAATGCACCGTTTAGTAGTTTGAAAAGCGTGGCATGAGTATCCAAAATTCAATCCAACTTTTGTTGGAGAAAAGAACGGGGCCTTATGTTATGTCTGAATAACTGAAATAGTTGCAGTAGAGGGTAGCTGAACAAAAGTAACACGGAAGGTCCGAAGGAGAGAAGAAAAGAAAATACAATTTACATGTGGTTCGAATGGCTCAGGTTTCTACATGCATGATGGCTTAGTTCAAACCAAGAGTTTTGGAATATTCTACTTCATCTTTCTATTAAAAAAAAATCAAATCTGTATAAATTCTGCTCACTTCTTCTAAATTCTTGAATTGGATATGCAGTACTCCATCAGCTTGCAGCAGCAAACGTACAAGCAGATGGAAGAGGAGAAACCCTGCTTGGTCTCCAGCCGAACGGCCAGAACGACAACGGTTGTGTTTAGTTTCACGATAAAATTAAAAGTTTAAAGAAATTGGAACATGTGACGAAAAAGTTTAAAGTTTGTATGTGTAGGAAAGTAGTTTGTGTGTGTAGGAAAGTTTGATGTGATAGAAAAATTAAAAGTTTAAAGAGAATATTTGAAATCTAAACAGGGCGTCAGGGCTGATATTGTCTGCCGTCTCCTCTTCTTGGTGTCCCCTGTCCAGCTGAGCGGCAAGAACAACAATGGCGGTGGCAATAATGGCCCCACCGCCTGGCTCACTTCCTGCCTTGCGGCCTCTCTCCTAGCATGATGCAAGTGCCGCATGGGTGCTTCCAGCCCGCTGCTTGCTGCCTACGTGGCCCGCCGCCACTTCGGGCCCCACTCTTGCTCACCCCACCAATCGTGGTAGGTTCTGAATCTGTAGTCACAGGGTTGAGGCCATCGGATTGGGGTACGACGGCGGTGCACGGAAGGCATGAGCGGCAGCGACGCGTCGGAGGAGGAGAGGAGGAGGCAGCAGTGAGTCTGGTCGCGAGGACGATGAGGCCACACCGCAGCGGTGGTGAGATGGAGGGCAAAGATGAAAATTAGACAATGCGACGTGAGTGTTGAACTGGTAACGTCATATAACGGAAGGGGTATTTACAAATTTGGCACTTTTTTTTTTGAAATTTTGTAAGGATAACATTAGAATGACATTTCTATTTGCATTTTCATAATTTTGTAGTGTTAGTTTTGCAATAACGATTTAAACTTGTGGCAAATTTATACTTATCTCATAAAAAATCTACATTTTTTCTCTCGCGCCGCCCCTCCCCTTGGGCGACACGGGAGGCGACGCCCCCACCGGAGCGCCACCCCCCCTCCTCCCTATTCCGCCTCGCCGCCGCCCGAGCGGCTGGCGGCAAAGCCGCGCGGTGCAAGGACGGCAGCGGCGGGGCTTCATCTTCGCGCCATGCTCAGGGTAGAGGGGGATTGCCCGGGACGGCGGAAATTGCCCAGATCCGTGCCCCCCGGCCGGATCTGGCGGGGAGGCACTCGGCGGCGGCGGGGCTGAGCGGTCGTGCTGGCGGTGACGGCTGGAGGTGCGACGACGGTGGTCGGAGGTGGGGCGGCGACGGAGGAGCGCCGGCGAGCCTGGATCCGGCCCCTCGGCCGGATCTGGGCTAGGACAAGCGGCGGCACGAGGGCCGCGCGAAGGAGGCGGCGACGGCGTGTGGCCCATGCGGAGGGCTGCGCAGCGGCGGCGTTGGCGTCGACGGCGGAGGTGGCGGGGAGGCAGCTGGCGGCGGGGATGAGCGGTGGCGGCGGTGCTTTCGAGTGGTGATGGTGGCAGCGGCTGGTGATGGCGGAGCCCAAGCTAGGGTGGCTGACCAGAGCTTCAACACGCTTGCCAGGCCGCGCCAGTGCTTTGCAGCGGCGACGGCGCCTTCGCGGCGTCGGTGTCCTCCCTGGCGGTGGCTTGGCTTGTGTGTTGTGCGTCTGGCCTCTCTCTCTCTGCAAGATCCGGTCCCCTCCACCGGACCTGGGGCGAGAGCGCCGTGCTACGGTGGACGTCTCGGTGCACCATTGTGGAGCACTGTGACGAAGGGTGTCATCGGCATGGCGCGGAGGGTGGCTAGAAGACGGCGAAGCGGTCTTCTAGCCCGAGGATGACGCGGGCAACGGGATCGCGGCGGAGTCGACGGATTGCACTGTCAAGGAGGAGCAACGGTTCTCCGACGGGCTCCAACCCAGACTTCGTCCTCCTGCGACGGTGCCTTTGCCGACAAAGATGGCCACGTCAGTCAGGCTAGTGTGGGGGAGAGGGGATCCATTCTTCTCTCTCACCCTCTCCCCATCCAACCCAACTGCGTGGATGGCGTTGGAGCGTGTAGGGGGGTCGAGCTCCTCCTTGACGGTTCGCCGGCGGCGTGGCGCCGGCGCGGTGGCTGCGCGTCGAAGGCTTTTGACGGTGGCGGCGGCGGAGCGTGCAGGAGTTTCTTTTGGGATGAGACGAAATTCGGGAGAAAACCCAGCCTTCGGGCCGGCAATAACGACGTCTGCGGGCGCCGCTCTCTCCTTGGGGTGTTGCTGTAACTCTTGTCTCTCCCATTCTTCAGGTGAAAACCTTGTCCTGGCTCTCGGGACGGGCGACGGCGGCATCCTTGGTGTCGTTTCCTTCTTGGAGGCATCGTCTCGAAGATTTCCTGTTTTGCTTTTGCAGCGTTTGTGGTTGTAGACGCGTGGTGTGTTGGTTTTTTTTTCCTTTCTGGGCTATAGTCTTCCAGGACTATAAGTTGTATTTTTTTCCTGCTTTATCAATACATGAAACTCACTCTGTCTCGTGCGGTTCGTTTCAAAAAAAAAAGAAGGAAGGTTTCATATTGAACTGTGAGTGTCAATTAAAAATAAACAGGAGTACAAGTTAATTATTCTATAGTTGTTGTTTAAAATATAGGTCTCGCATATAAAATTATATAGCCATGACATAAATGCTTTCAAAATACCAAATTTGTGTAAACTTTTCGTATTTATAAAAAAATTAGTCAAAATTGTACTTATTGACTTCAACAACTAAAAAAATGGAAGTCTCTGATGAATACAAAGAGTTAAAGAGACTGCATCTAAATTTGTTTTAAAAGAAGAATTAACAAACTAGTGGTGATTATGTTACTTCCTTTTCAACTCTCCAACAATCAGCGCCTGGTGATCTTTTTCCAGTACCGTGCTTTGAAGATACTATTTCCTCCATCCTAAAATAAAACCATTTTTTTATTAATTATTGTTTGTTTCAAGATAATATAATTTTTAGACATCATTAGATCCGAGTTTGTGAAAGTATATGCCAATATATATTGAAACTAGATAAATTACAAACAATCAATAAGGATTTGATAAAGTGAGTATTTCGGTATTTTCCTTTTATTTTAGTATGGACGGAATGGATTACAATCAACTTATTTAGCAAATCCCATTTTTAATACGTACTAATAAATCAGCAATAGTTTACTCCAATCTCCAATTTTCCAGCATAGCAGCCGCCCATGACTCGCCCATGTCGGCGTTGACCCGTCCACAGTGATGCCGCCCCTCCCGAGCTGGGCGGTGGCCGCTACTTTATTAATTATACCTCAGGAAGAGTCCACACTCCACACACGCTGGTCGACTCCACCACGCAAGAGATGGCCGCCGCCGCCGCCGCAGCAGCAGACCACGATGCCGCGCCGCGCGCGCACGCGCTCATCCTCCCGTACCCGGCGCAGGGCCATGTCATCCCGCTCATGGAGCTCGCGTACTGCCTCATCGACCGTGGCTTCGCCGTCACCTTCGTCAACACCGAGCACAACCACCGCCGCGTCGTGGCCGCCGCCGCTGGCGCAGGCGGCGTGCAAGCACCGGGGAGCCGGGCACGGCGCCTGCGGCTCGTGGCGGTGGCGGACGGGATGGGCGACGGCGACGACCGGGACAACCTAGTCCGCCTCAACGCCGTCATGGAGGAGGCCATCCCGCCTCAGCTGGAGCCGATTCTTGATGGCGCCGGCGGCGAGGGGCAGCTGGGCAAGGTGACGTGCGTGGTGGTCGATGTCGGCATGTCGTGGGCGCTCGATGCCGTGAAGCGGAGGGGCCTCCCGGGCGCCGCGCTCTGGGCAGCGTCGGCGGCGGTGCTCGCCGTGCTACTCGGAGCGCAGAAGCTGATACGCGATGGCGTCATTGATGACGACGGTATGATAATTGATAAGCGGACAGCTCACTTGTCTTATCTATTAATTCAGCTATTAATAATACATTATTATATACATTTCCGAATATAAGTGATTTTGAGTTTTTCCCTGCAACGTTTGACCATTCGTCTTATTTAAAATTTTTTGAAATTATTATTTATTTTATTTATGACTTACTTTATTATCTATAGTATTTTAAGCATAACTTTTCGTTTTTTATATTTGCAAAAAAAATTTGAATAAGACGAGTGGTCAAATGTTGTAAGCAAAAACTCAAAATCCCTTATACTAAGAGACGGAGGGAGTATTATCTTAAAAAAATACATTACCGTTCTCCCGAAATTATTGGATTAACTGTGCGTAGCCGACAGCACATGCCCTTTTTATCCTCTTGTACCGGATCTGAATTAAGGGCGTGAACAAAGGTAGAGTCTAAGGGCAAGTCTAATATTACAGCCCACTACTAGCTCCAATTCATCTATAGCCAATCTAATAGCCAATTCATACAATATTTGCTTACTATACTATTAATATATGATCCTACATATCATACACACAGTGTGTTTTGGAGTCCGTGCTGCATCTGACTACAGATATGTAGCCTGCTGCTCTTCTCTCTTACTCCCTCCATTCCAAATTGATCTACATATAGTTTTATTGAGGTTATTTCTAAATGATCTACATATTTGTATTCATTCATTAAGTCTATTCGTTATTTGTGCATTGGAGTGAATGGACATTGATGCATGCAAGCATGCATACAAGTATTTATAACCACATGCAATATCTTGATTTGCTATTGGCTAGAAAATAGTGGTGATGGTGCATGCATCGAGTTTGTTGCTAAACTAAATATAGTATGAAAGAGTTATTAGCTTTTCTTGGTCTTGGTGTACCTATAAAATATGTAGATCAATTTGAAATGGAGGGAGTATCGTTTATCTCATTAAAATATATTTATAGCTTGCTAATAGCCAGCTATTGTGCCTGCTCTAATATAAGCTTTCCATACTAACTAATGTCTCATCCTCTTACAATAGTATTGTAGAGATAACAAGATTTCTAAACCATTAATATACTAAATATTTTTTATTATACTTCTTTTCTTTTCTCCACCCTCATGCAACAAATTTTTCGTTAATAAATGCTAAGAGTCGACTCTGAGCCATTGTCATGCATAACAACGATGTTTCACATTCACATGCCATAATATAGGGTCCCATGACTCTCATCTGGTGCCCACTTACAAAAACCATAACGGCTTTTTGGACAAAAATAATAATTAATACTATGTAAAACTTATATATACATTATATCTCAAAATTTAAGTGTTAAAGTTCCAAGTTCAAATATTGGCTTTATCTTATTCTTTTTAGCTCAACTGATTAGGGCTTATAGGTAGTAAAATAAAGCATTAGGGTTTTACTTTTAGGCTAAAGTCTACTGGATTTTTTTATATTTTAGATATTTTAAATTTTTATTTTTTTAAATAGGTTCTTAAAGAAACTTATTTTAGAAATGGACCATTTTCGCTGCACCAGTATTATTGGCACCATGATCCAATAAGATAGTACCAATGCTATTAGTGTCTTCCCCTTTGTCCCCTTCCCTCACCCGAAAACTAAGTGGCTGATATGAATGGGCTATGCACCAATGACACTATCACTGAGGACCTATTTGCAAAAACAAATTCTAAAGAAGAACTAAAATGTAAATATCTTTTCTTACAAATAGATCCTTATACCAATGATGACAGTTGCGCCGAGGATCTATTTCTAAATATTTTTATATTACAAATAAGTCATTTTTTTATTTTTTATTTTTTACTTTTTACAAAACTAGCATATTGCCCGTGCATCGCAACGAGGTTTTAATTGATGAAAATGATCATTAACATGCTATTATTATTATGTTCTGTGTACGTCATCTCTTAAATTCTACATATTTTGCTACTTCCTCCATTTCACAATGTAAGTTATTCTAGCATTTCCCATATTCATATTAATGTTAATGAATCTAGATAGATATATATGTCTAGATTCATTAACATCAATATGAATGTGAAAAATGCTAGAATGACTTACATTGTAAAACGGAGGGAGTACTAACATATGGGTCCTATGGCCTTATAATATCATTTTTCCTTCCCACAAAAAGTAGAGATGGTGTTCAAAAAGTAGAGATGGTGTTAGGTGGTCGACATGTGGGCCCTTTGGCCCCACATGTCCTTTGTTCACTCCAAAAGGGTAGGGAGTTGGTGGTGGGGTGGTAGATTCCCTACTCATCACGGCCACTACTTTTTAATAGTATAGAATAGGTCCTATATATGCTACTGTTATTGCCGCCGAGTCCCTTCATATTAGTGACTTAGCTTCAAGGGGGCGGGGGGCGGCGCCAATGTTATTGGTGTCATCATGTTCGACCAAGACGCCAATAACGTTGCTGTCGTGAAAATGGTCTATTTCTAGAATAAGTTTTTTAAGGTATATATTTTGTAAAATAGGTTTTAAAAAGGATAAAAATATCCTTCTACGGTATATCCTTTTTATCCTTGAAACTATTTTTACCTTGAATTTAAAACCCATTATTTCTCAACTCAGTCTTTAAAATATCATAAATAAATGATGATGTGTTAAAACTTAATGTACCGTGATTTTTGTTGACATGACTATCTGTCACGCCCAGAAGTTTCCCCCATGCTTTAAAAATTGGTTAAATAAATTGCCCGAAGAAATTATCTTAATTAACCTAGAGCTAAATCCCTAGTTAATAAATGCAATTAATAATCGGAAATAGTGTGGTGGAATTTTTCTTGAGTTCCCCATGCTCCAATGCATTAACAAGATTTTTAGTGGAATTTTCAGAGCCTTGGAAATAATTTTAACCAATTAAAAATCACCAAAGTGCAATATTTAATCCCAGGAAAATCCTTCTCCTCTTTTTCTTTTCTTTTCCTTCCTTTTTCTCTAGATGGGCCGTCGGCCCATCTCTCTCCCCGCGCTCGGCACCCCTTTCCTGGGCCGGCCCGCTCCTCCTTTCCCCTCCCCGAAGTCCTCCCTCCCTCCCTTTCTCTTTCGGGCGCCGACAGGTGGGGCCCACCTGTCGGTCGTCCCCTACCTCCGGTCGTTGGAGCCGGAGCTCCAACCGCCCGCGCCGCCGCCTTCTCCGCTCCACGTCGCGCCTCCACTCCGCGCCCGCACCTCGCGCCCACGTCGCCGCCCTCTCCCCGCATCTCCCGCGTGCGCGCGCCCGCAAGTGGTGGGGATTTGAAATCCCCCAACACCCTCTCTCTCTCCTCCACCTCTTCACGTCGCCGGCCAAATAGGGGCCATCCCCAGCCGTTTCCGCCCCTCCCTCGCCCATAAAAACCCTCACTCGAGCTCTCTCTCTCATTTCCCCCACACCAGAGTTGAAGTTCTTCTCAGTTGGAGCCGTCTCAGAGAGGTTGGTTCCGTTGCTGCCGTCAAGGTTTGCCTGTGGAGTGGAGTCGCCCGCTGCTGAAGTCAAGCTTCCCGGTTTAGCTCGCTTTAATCTTTCCCGCTGCATTTGTAATCTTTTATATTTTTGTAAGACGTGGGTCTGTATGTCAACAATTGTCGTTTGTGTACCTTGGCAGGTCCTGGACAGGGATTTAATGCACATTCAGCTTAGAAATTCTGATTCGAGAATTTCTGGGTGTGACAAGTTGGTATCAGAGCCGACCTTGACCGTAGGACAAGCCAACTGGAAACCTAAGAGCCCTCTGAACCCTTTTTTTCTCATATGCATATGCCCTTTTGCACTTGGATTTTGTTTCGGGAAAATTTTGGGGTTTGTTCTTTTGATTTGTGGGAGAAATCTTGGTCGCTTATTTAATTGGATTTCTCGACTAGGGACAGTCTAGGGATTTAGTAAAAGTTTATTCGGAATTTATTCGGCAGTCGGTTGGGAATTGTCGGGTGATATGCATTAGGTCGTGTCTATGTTCAGGTGGGGTAAGTTTATGCATATCAGTATGACTATGCATCTATTTCATGCATTAAGTTATTGTTTAGTCAGTTGCATTAGTCTTTTGTCTCGGTTCGTGAAAAATGTTGTTCTATGCATAAAAATCATCATGCTCGGTTATTTATTTGAGTCTTCTTTTGCTTTGTTTAATTTGGATTTGAGCATGAATTGGTTCCTATCCCTTGTCTACTTTAGATGTCAGTCCTATCCCTCGTTTGCAAGCGCCGCCCCGAGCTTCAGAGTCGCCGCCCTTAGCTTTATCGCCTTCTTAGTCTGTTTGCTTGCTAGTTTTCGTGTTTAGGTTTGTTGCTTGTGGGTTAGTCGGCGGTCGATATCATGTGTCAGTGGTATGACTGCCTCAATTAGGAGTTGCGTGCCTCTTTTTCAGTGTTTTAATCAAGATTAAGATAATTGCACTTAAATTCATAAGAAAGATTAGTTTCTGAGCCCCCTGTTTTTCTTCCTTTTCTCATATTTCTACCTATCCCCTTCAGATGGAGATAAGGAATGGTTCACGCGACTCGAACAACGCCAGTGGCAGCGAAGAGCCGATCAATGGAGCACGTGCCAACAGTGCATCTGACAACAGTCCGTCCCCACCGCCCGAGAACCCAACAATTGCTCAGGTGTTGGACAATCAGACTCAGATGATGACAATGATGATGCAACCGATGCAGCAACAGTACCATCAGGTGTTGCAGCAGGTGCAGCAGCAAGCACAGCAGCAGCAGCAGAACCTGCAGTTTGGTTCTCCACCTCCTCAGTCCAAACTGTTAGAATTTCTTCGTGTCAAGCCGCCCACTTTCTCAAGCACCACCAACCCAATCGAGGCCCACGACTGGCTTCATGCCATTGAGAAGAAGCTGAATCTTTTGCAATGCAACGAGCAAGAGAAGGTTGCTTTTGTTTGGTGGGACAACTACATGGTGACCCGTCCAACTGGCGCAGAAGTTACTTGGACAGAGTTTTGTCATAGTTTCAATAAAGCACAGGTTCCCGAGGGAATTGTGGCAC